ATTACAAAACAATTCGCTCTTGAGACAACAGCTACATATTATTTCTTTCAGTATTTTCCTGAAGGTAACTATATAGACTTTTGCTGTTAGTAACATTATAAAAAAGCACTTCTAATTTTCCTTACTGCAGTTACAAATCTATTTTCTCTCCTTCCTCATTAAAGTTATATCATAATTCCCCATATTCAATTGTTTTAATCTGCACATCCAAAAACCACCATTCAAAACATTTTCAAAATGCATGAGACAGCCAACTATACAATGCAAAATGAAGCATTTTGTGAAATGTACAAATATTTTGTACATCCCTACTTTCGTGTATGTATATATGTGTGTGTGTGTTGTGTGTATATGTAAATGTATGACAGCATACATATAGCATACATAAAGATAAATGTATATTCCTATCAAACAGCTAATTAGATAAAAAAGATTCTGAAAGTCCTCTTTTCCTTAAAAAGATGAGATTGAAAGATATTTTCAACATTTGGGGTCTGACTTATCTTTTGACTTTTTTCTGGTGGAGCTTTCTTCATTCTTTCAATATCATCACTTCAAGAAATAGGACAATTTTACTACTGTCTTCAACTTACAAACAATTGCTTAATGATTGTTCAAAGTTGTAATGGACTTCTATGATGAAAAAAGTTACTTAAGATTTCTCCTTGAAATTACGACTGTTGCACCAGATTCCGTAGTCAATTTGATCACATTTCAGGCACTTGGCAACTGGTTTATATTTACAACTGGTTGCAGCATCCTGCAGTCATGTGATCACATTTTGCAACATTTTTTGCTTTTTAAAACAAAAAGGCAAAAACTACCCAATAGATAAGCTGGGTTTAACTTATGATGTGATTCATTTAACGACTACGTGATTTGCTTAACAACTGCAATGATTTTCTTGATAATCGTCATAAAAATGATCATAAATTTGAGTCTGGTCATGTGGAGACCTGACTTATGATTGCAACAAATTTCCATCTTCTTTCCTAGTTATTGAGAAGATATAATATCCAATTTTTAGAAAACCCCACAACACTTACCATGTGGTGAATATACCCTCAGGTTAATAGGAATAGGAGAAATGCCTTTGTTTGTTCCTGTTGCCCTATCAGTCTCAGCTTCAATCTCCTGTCGGACTTCATCAAAATCTGTAAACTTCTTAGATTTGCAGTGCAAAAATTCTGCATATTCTGAAAGAGAAACGGTATCTTTTGTGAAGCTCAAATACAAATCTAAGAGAAATTTTTGAGAGCTCATGTAAGCATTATAAGGTATTACCACAATTTAACCATACTAAATACTGCATCATGCTTACTAATTTTTAAGGTATGATTGAATATGTAAAATACTCTAAATTCAAGAAGAAACTATACATGAATATAACATTGTTCACAAAAGAATTTGGATTATTTTTTAAGCATAAATGAAGGGACTACTTACCTGTTTTAGAAAAGATAAGCTGAAGAATGAGAGGTCGTCGGGTAACAATTCCAGATCCACGGGGCAAGAAATCTCTGCAAAATATATTGACAATATATTACTATGATAGCTTAAAACAGATACTATGAACAAGAAATTTTACTAAGAAATTATTTTTAAATGTATGTCATCAGCCATATGATAAACTTGCAGATATACTTTCTCCAAGTTTCCATTCCTCAAATATTTGTGTACATAGACTGATGGCTCATTAATTACAAAGTTTGCACATTTTCCAAGATTACAGGAAAATGCTGGTCTGTGATCATAATAAAGATAATATTGAGTAGTTCCTCCTTCATGGATTACTGCCTTGTCGTGGCGAAGGGGCTTGCGTAACTCAGTGAAGCTATGAGCTATGCCGTGCAGGGCCATCCAAGACGGACAGGTCATAGCAGAGAGTTCTGACAAAATGTGATCCACTGGAGAAGGAAATGGCAACCCACTCCAGTATCTTTGCCATGAAAACCCCATGGACAGTACCAAAAGGCAAAAAAGATATGACGCTGGAAGATGAGCCCCTCAGGTCGGAAGGTGTCCAATATGCTACTGGGGAAGAGCAGAGGGCTAGTACTAGTAGCGCCAGAAAGAGTGAAGCGACTGGGCCAAAGCCGAAAGGATGCTCAACTGTGGATGCATCTGGTAGTGAAAGGAAAGTCCGATGCTATAAAGATCTTTTCTCCATAGGAACCTGGAATGTAAGATCCATGAATCAAGGCAAACTGGACGTGGTCAAACAAGAGATAACAAGACTGAACATCAACATCTTAGGAATCAGTGAACTAAAATGGACAAGAATGGGTGAATTTAATTCAGAGGACCATCAGGTATACTAATGCGGGCAAGAATCCCTCAGAAGAAATGGAGTAGCCTTCATAGTCAATAAAAGAGTAGGAAAAGCAATACTGGGATACAATCCCCAAAATAACAGAATGATCTCAGTGCAAATCCAAGGCAAACCATTCAATATCACAGTAATCCAAGTCTATGCCCCAACCACTGATGCTGAAGAGGATGAAATTGACCGGTTCTATGAAGCCCTACAGCACCTTATAGAATCAACACCAAAAAATGATGTCCTTATCATCATGGGGGATTGGAATGCTAAAGTAGGAAGCCAAAAGATAAACAGAATAACAGGCATGTTTGGCCTTGGAGTACAAAATGAAGCAGGGCACAGGCTGATAGAATTTTGTCAAGAGAATACGATGGTCATAGCAAACACTCTTTTTCAACAACCCAAGAGACAGCTCTACAGATGGACATCACCAGTCAACACAGAAATCAGATTGACTATGTGCTCTGCAGCCAAAGATGGAGAAATTCTATACAGTTAGTAAAAACAAGACCAGGAGCTGACTGTAGCTCAGATCATGAGTTTCTCGTTGCAAAATTTAGGCTTAAATTGAAGAAAGTAGGGAAAAACACTAGGCCACTCAGGTATGAACTAAATCATATCCCTGATGAATATACAGTACAGGTGACAAATAGATTTAAGGAATTAGATCTGATATACAGAGTGCCTGAAGAACTATGGAAAGAGGTTCGCAACATTGTATAAGAGGTAGCAACTAAAACCATCCCAAAGAAAAATAAATGCAAGAAAGCAAAATGGCTATCTGAGGAAGCTTTGCAAATAGCTGAGGAAAGAAGGAAAGCGAAAGGCAAGGGAGAAGGGGCGTTGTCTTACCTGAAATGCCTTTTCTCAGCATGAGGAATGTAGAATTCACGAATGGGTTTTAGAAGTCCTCTAGCCCATTTAGACCAATCAATCAAAGTTGCCATGCCCCTGCAGGGTCTGACCATGCCCCAGTTTCGAAAAAGGGCGAAGCCAATGATTGTGTGACGTGATGGCTCCCGAATTGCTGACACTGACCTGACTGCTAAAGTGAACAGGGAGGGGGTGGATTCTACATTCCTCATGCTGAGAAAAGGCGTTCAGGTAAGACAACGCCCCTTCTCCAGCATGAAGAGGAATGTAGAATCCACGAATGCGACATACCAAAGCCCCTATGAGCCCACGGGTGGGACGGAGGCCAGTCAAGTGTCAGTGTTGAAATGGACCACCTACTGTAAGACCCGGCGGCCGAATGCGGCCTCTGCAGAAGCAAACTTGTCGAGCTTGTAATGACGTATGAAAGGTGAAGGGGACGACCACGTCGCCGCCCTACAGATATCAGCTATGGAAGCCTGAGTTTGCCATGCCGCTGATGTGGAAGCGCTACGCGTAGAGTGCGCCGTAAGCGGCTTGGAACTGGTAAAGAATAGGTCCAGTAAGATTCAGCGATACAGGCCTTAATCCACCGGGCAATAGTAGAAGAGGAGACCTTCTGCCCTTTGGAACCTGCATGGAAAGAGACAAAGAGTGCTTCCGATTTACGAAAAGGGGCAGTCCTCTTAAGGTAATGACGCAGTGCCCTGCGCATGTCCAGGGAATGCCACTGCCGCTCCCGTGCGTGGGAAGGATTGGGACAGAAGTTCGGTAGAACGATTTCCTGGGCCCGGTGAAACAGTGTATTCACCTTGGGGATGAACAGGGGATCCAATCGCAATACCACTCTGTCCTGGTGGAAGGTACACAGGTCTTCCCTAACAGAAAGAGCAGCCAGTTCAGAAACCCGCCTTGCCGATGTGATGGCCACCAGGAAGGCCACCTTATGGGACAAATAACGAAGAGAGCAAGATCTTAAGAGGTTCAAAGGGGGGTCCTGTAAGAGCCTGTAGAACTTGGGGCAGCTCCCAAAAGGGGTACCGATGTACTACGGAGGGTCTACTATTGGTGACTCCTTTGATAAAGGATCGAACCCTCGGGTGATAAGACAACGGCGTGGAGTTGGCACAGGTGAATACCGTGGAAAGCACGGCCACCTGCCTAGGGATAGTGTTGGGCGCCAAGCCCATATCCACTCCATCCATGAGGTATTCAAGAATTCTCGGAATAGTGGCAAAAGAGGTAGACAAACCCTTGCGGTTACACCAGTCACAGAAGTTCCTCCAAGTGGCATCGTAAATCCGGTTCGTCGCCGGCTGCCTTGAAGCCTGAATCATAGATATCACTCTGGGGGAGTAAGATCCCCGCGCCAGGAACTGGCGTTCAGATGCCATACAGCTAATTGGAGCCACTGCGGATCTGGGTGCCGTATGGCCCCTTGCGTTAAAGTTATCCGCTCTGGAGGAATTCTCCACAGAGGAGTTATGGCGAGGTTCACGAGATCCGCGAACCATGGTCACCTCGGCCAGTGTGGGGCCACAAAAATCAGCTCCACTTGTTCCTGCAACAGTTTCCTGATGACGGCCGGAATCAGAGGGAGAGGTGAGAAGGCATATAGTAGGCCCTCCAGCCAGGGACTGCGGAGGGCATCTGCTCCCTCTGAACCCTGAGAGGGATACCGAGAGAGAAACCGGGGAATTTGGGCATTCGCTGGGGACGCAAACAGTTCTACCCTGGGCTGACCGAATCAATAAGTGATCTCCCGAAAGAGGCATGGATGCAGGCGCCACTCTGAATGATCTACCGTGGATTGACTCAGAAAATCCGCCTGTCAGTTCTCCCCCCCCATGTGCTCCGCCCTTAGGGACAGAAGATTTTTCTCCGCCCATGACCCCAGTAGCTGGGCCTCGGACATCAGAGCCCGAGATCGGGTTCCGCCCTGCCTGTTTAATGGGCCTTTGCCGCCATGTTGTCCGTCAGGACCAGCACGTGGCAACCCGCAACCTTTTCACGGAAATGACGAAGTGCCAGGCGTATGGCTCTGAGTTCTAACCAATTGATACTCTGTTTGAGATCCCGTTGGGACCACCGTCCCTGAGTAAACTGAAGTTGGAGGTGTGCCCCCCATCCGAATAGGCTGGCATCCGTGGTCAAGCTCACCCAAACTGGTTCTCTGAAAAGAGAGCCCTTGGACAAAACTGGGGATAGCTACCAGAGAAGAGATGTGAGCGTTAGTGCAGGGACCCGTACCCACTGGGGAAAGGAGGCTACGCCCTGCCTCTGGTAGGGAAGCAAAAACCACTGGAGCTGTCTCATGTGGAGCCTGGCCCACGGTACTATGGCAATGCAGGAAATCAGCTTCCCCAACAGTTGTGAGAGCAGAAATAGGGTCACCCATTTTTTTCTGCACACTTTGAGGATTAGTGTACGAATGCTGACCTGATGCTCTTGCGATAAGAAAACTTGGCACAGGTTGGTATCTATTATTGCGCCCAAGTGTAACAGCCGGTTGTTGGGGTCAAGTGACTTTTTTGAAAGTTGATCAGAAAGCCGTGATCTTGAAGCATTCTGATTGTCAGTGCCAAGTCCGAACGAGCGTTCAGTGCCGATGACGACTGGATTAGAATATCGTCCAAGTATCACTGAACGCAGACTGGCACCAACCTGAGCTGTGCGGCAAGAACCGCCAGGATTTTGGTGAAGACCCTGGGGGCTGAAGACAGGCCGAATGGTAAGGCCTTGTACTGGTAATGATGGTTGGAATACCTGAATCTGAGAAACCGTCTGTGACCCGGATGCATGGGGATGTGAAGGTATGCTTCTGTAAGGTCTATTGACATCAGGAAATCCCCCTGACGAATGCTGCCCAAAGTGGAATGAAGGGTTTGCATTTTGAACTTGTGATACACTAGGTATGAATTTAGGATCTTGAGATCGAGTATCGCCCTCCAACCCCCAGAGGCTTTCGGAACCACGAAGAGGATGGAGTAGAACCCCTGTCCCCACTGATCCGGTGGTACCTGCTCTCTGGCCTCTATGTTGAACAGATGTTGAATGGCCTCCATCATGAGACCTTGCTTTACGGGATTTCGCGATAGGGAACAGGCGATGAAACGCCGAGGAGGGGAGGTCAAGAACTCCAGAGACAGACCGTCTCTGATGGTGGTGAGAACCCAGGTGTCCATGGTGGTGTCTTCCCATTTGTGGAAGTAATATGTCAGTCTGCCGCCGATAGGAGGGGTCCACTCCAAGTCATTTTGACTTACAGAAGGGACGACCTCCCCTGCCACGAAAAGGCCGCTTGGCCTGAAATTGTGGTTTTGG